GACCCGAGCGGTACAGGCATTCTACCGGCTGAGAACTATATAATTTATCTTATTATTAATATATTAATTAATTTAATTTACTTACTTATTTATTGATTTATAATAAATAAATTATAAGTAATATTAAATAAATTTGATTGGATTTATTTAATATTACTTATTTGTTTATTTATTGATAATAAATCAATAAATAAGTGAATTAAAAATTATTAATTAATTAATTTATTAATAAGAATATGCTTAGAATATAGTAATTGTTACTAGTTTTCAAATTAGTTTTATTTTTATATAGGATAATTTTTTTTATAAATTCGCTTTTAAAAATCTTACCACAAATATCTTTTAAAATCTGACAAGTTTTGCTATTTTTATTTTTTATAATAAAAATTAATAATAATAATAAATTTAATCCATCATGCTTTAAACATTTTTTGTATTATTAATTTTTAAAGAGCCGAAAGTACATTCGCACTGTCATTCTATTGCAAAATGCGTCCGGCTCGGTGCAGGTTTCAGCCCGCCAAACACTCGGCGTTGTACTGGCATTCGTCCGTCTATCAACCAGCGCGGGCCAAATTATATTCTTTATTAAAAATTAAAATAAAATATTTAATATTTCTTTCAAATTAATTACATTCATCTTTTTCTCTTTTTTAAAAACATTTGTAAAGTATAAATGAAACGCAGTAAGTTACAAATGTTTATTTTAGTTAATTTTGTATTGATTTCGAATAGTTATAAAGTGAAGTGTTCAACTAATTATTCCTAAATAATAAAATAAAGATAAATATTAAAAACATTGAAGATTAAATAAAAATATAATAAAACTTTAAATTCATTTGCATAATATAAATAAAATGCTAAAATATTGAATTGTACCTATTGTATATTGGCGTTGTTTTGCTCACATCCGCAAGCGAGCGAATAGCGTAGTGGTTAGCGTATTAGACTTCGGTGCGTAGATTAGGATAGGCTTGGGCTTCGTATTCCACTGCGAGCGTTTAGAATTTTAATGTGTAAAAAAAATGTTAAATGTGTAAAAAATGCTTCAAATGATCTATAAATAAATGTTAATTAACATGCACCATGCATAGTTAATTAAATATTTTTTTTTTAATTTTATTTTTCAATAGAGAATATAATTTGGCCCGCGTCGCTTGCTAGGCGGACGAATGCCAGTAGAAAGTCATCTTTCGGAACAAAATTTGTCCCGTCCTGGTTGCCAGACGGACGAATGCCTGGGATTCTACAGTCGATTTATCCATTATTTAAGTTGAATTAAATCGTAAATTGTTCAATTATTAATGATAAATATGCGAACTGTGAGACCTGTCAATGTATTGGTAACATGCGTGATACTTGTAGCAGACTGTAGAACAGTACAAAAAGGGAGAAAATATTTAATTTTTGAAAAGTTACATTTAGTCTTAACTCATTAAGAAAAAAAAGACTTCTGGCCAATAAAAATAAGCTCCTCCTATTTTCAAAGGGCAATTTTTTATTTGTTGGTTGAGTTAAAGAAAATGGAGAAAGTAATTAATATTTGAAAAATAACACATATATTACCAACCCCCAAAGAAAAAATGGATGATTTAGACCAATAAAAATAATAAACAAACTCCTCCCAGTTTCAAAATCAATTTTTCCATTTGTTGGTTGAGTTAAACAAAATGGAGAAAAAATTAATATTTAAAAAATAAATCATATAATTCCAACCCCTAAAAAGAAAAATGGATGATTTAGACCAATTCAAATAAAATTTAAACTCCTCCTTCTTAAGGTACACTCTCACCTCACTGCCTGCCTGCCTGCGCAGGCAGGCGCCATAAGAGTGAGAGAGAAAAAACATTTAATTTGAATTTTCTTACTCTCTTACTCCTATGTGTTACCATGTCAACCTGCAGGCAGGCAGGCAGTAGGAGCTGTGCTAGCGCCTTTAAAGGGTGATTCTCCGCGTAGCGCACAATTTAATGTCCCTCATGTTTTTTAAGAAATCATTTTCATATATTCTAATAAATTCAACGTGGATAACTTATTTCCATGATAACAAATAAAAGTCTATAGTCGTTTTCATTTAAAAGTTTATAATTTTACTGAAAAATCTGTTTTAAGGTGCCAAAACGTCATGGTGTAATTAGTCCCCACTACCATTTCATATATAAAATGTTATTTTTTTAGTAAAATATAATAATAAATATAATGAATATTGACATTTTCTTATTGTCTAAATTAGTAGAATTGAGTAAAACAAAACACTTATGGAAAAAAAATTTATTTTTTAATATTTTTGTAGATATTTCTTGTCCTCCGTTTTCGCGTCATGGTACACTCAATAGGTATGTTTTCGTTGCCTGCACTAAGTGTAACTTTTACACCACCTCAAGAGTAGGTGCAGAAAGTGTAGCGAAATGTATGGTAAAATTACGTCACATCCGGCAAAGAAAACAGCATAGTGCAGGTTAGGTGTTAAAGTGTAAGAAGTGCAGGCAACGAAAACATACCTACCTATAAACATATATGCTGTCCTTCCGGTTTGAACAACTTTTTGAAAAGAGGTGTGCTTTCTATAAGAATTTTTTAAGTTTATGGCTTAAGTCTGTGGTTTAAGTCCATAGACTTAAAACATTCTTATAGAAGGCACACCACTTTTCAAAAAGTTGTCCAAACCGGAAGGAAAGCATATATGTTATTGAGTGCATAATCACTTTGTAAAATTGCCTAATTTACATAAAAAATCAAATCGAAAAATTACTTAACATTAATAAAAAGCATTAATAAACTCTCCTAAGTAAATTACTAAAAAAGAAATTAATAAAAAAATTTATTTTTCTGTTTTATATGTGTTACAAGCATGAAAGTTTCATAGGGAATCACAGAATCGTCATGGTCGAATCATAATATATTTGCAATAAAATGAATAATTATTTATATTTTACCTTAAAACAAGTTTAGTAGTATAAAGTAAGTGAAAACAAAAGACGTGGAAAAAAAGAATTTTTGAAATCGATAATAATTTGCTTAAAAAATTAGTTTTTCTTGGGCGTCATGGTAGAATCAGAGCGTCATGGTGTAAACAATTTTACATGGGTGTTTATTGTAAAAAAGAAAATTGTAATTATTTTGTCTAGCCCACCACGAATATTTCGTTCTTGAATATTGAACTTTAAAATTCTATATCGACTTTTACTTAATTTGAAAAAAAAAATTTCAAAAATAGTAAAATCCAAATTGTGCGCTACGCGGAGAATCACCCTAAAGAAAAATATTTTTTATTTGTGGCTTCAATAGAACAAAATGGAGAAATTATTAATATTTAAAAAATATAAAATTTAGTCCCAACTCCCAAAAGATAAAATGGATGTTTAAGACCAATTAAATTAAAATTTAAACTCCTCCCTTTTAATAAAAAATATTTTTCATTCGTAGGTTCAAAAAAACGAAATGCAGAAAATATTAAACTTTAAAAAATATAAGTCTCAACCCCTCACGAAAAAAAACTGCTATTAGCCAATAAAAAATCAAACTCCTCCTAAATTTTTATTTCGTTTTTTTGAACCCACGAATGAAAAATAGTTTTTATTAAAAGGGAGGAGTTTAAATTTTTCTCCATTTTCTTTCATTGAAGCCACTAATAAAAAATATTTTTCTTTAAGAAGGAGGAGTTTATATATTATTTGGTCTAAATCATCTATTTTTCTTTTTGGGGGTTGGAATTATATGTTTTATTTCTTAAATAATAAATTTTTCTCCATTTTGTTTAACTGAACCAATGAATAAAAATGTAAGAGGAGTTTGATTCTTTTATTGGCTAATAGCAGTTTTTTTTCGTGAGGGGTTTAGACTTATATTTTTTAAAGTTTGATATTTTCTCTATTTTGTTCTATTGAACACACGAATAGAAAATAACTTTTATTAGGAGGGAGGAGTTTAAATTTTAATTTAATTGGTCTTAAACATCCATTTTATCTTTTGGGGGTTGGGACTAAATTTTATCTTTTTTAAATATTATTATGTTCTCCATTTTGTTCTATTGAAGCCACAATAAATAAGAAATATTTTTCTTTAAGAAGGAGGAGTTTTAATTTTATTTTAATTGGTCTAGAACATCCATTTTTTCTTTTGGGGGTTGGAATTATAAATTTAAATATAATTTTTTCTTCATTTTGTTTAACTCAACCAACAGATAGAAAAATTGATTTTGAAAATGGGAGGAGTTTGTTTATTATTTTTATTGGTCTAAATCATTCATTTTTTCTTTTCTTTCTATAACACATATAGTAATATGTGTTATTTTTCAAACATTAATCACTTTCTCCATTTTCTTTAACTCAACCAACAAATAAAAAATTGCACTTTGAAAATAGGAGGTGTTTATTTTTATTGGCCAGAAGTCTTTGTTTTCTTAAGGAGTTAAGACTAAATGTAACTTTTTAAAAATTAAATATTTACTCCCTTTTTGTGCTATTGAATAAAAAAATAAAAAAAATTGCTTTCTTAAAGTAGGAGGAGTTATTTTTTATATTCTACTAAATATAATAATAATTAATTTTTAATCAAAATTAATTGTTCATGTTATTTATTTTTTACATGAAATTGTTTAAAAAATTGTTATTCAAATTTATTTTTCTAAGTAAAATACTGATTTTTAGCTTTGAATAATATTTATTTAAATAAATATATTTATTTTAATAATCGAAAAAGTTTTGCTAAATTTCTAATTTTTGATTACATTGTTGTAAAAAAACGTTTTCTAAAGGTAAAAGATATGATTTATTAGTAATATCTCTTAAATCAAAGAAAGAAATTTTTTTCAATGTTTACTATATTTACACATCATTTTGAAACTTCGCGCGTTTATCCAAATCAGTTCCTTTCGTTCCGCCGTTCAGAATATGATCGCAGTGAATGGATAATCTTTAGTCTTTTCTAGTTTAAACTTCTGAATTGAAGATGAGGAAAAATCACTTTTAATTCAACAAAACGTATTTTCTTTGTTTCAGCAATACGGGGCGATCCTGGATGTAGAAATCATATTTAACGAGAGGGGCAGTAAGGTGAGCTCATAACAGCAAATCCATTTTTAGTTTTTTTCATTAAACTAAAAATTGGTTCAGTGTATCGATTTAATTTCATTACCACTTGAAGAATACTCTTGTTCAAGGATGAAGCGCCTTTACAACAGACTGAAAAACCCTAAATTTTTTTCCTCAAGCTTTTTTTAAAGTATTTTTATTTTTACACTTTAAAAAATTTAGGGAGTTGACGGTCACCGGTGTTGGATGTAAAAGTTTTCGAGTTAAATATCAACTCCAAAAGAGTTAATTCAATAACTCCTTACTTTTACCAAGAGTGAAAAAGGGGATGTTGAGCCTCAACTCCCGCGCGAGTTATTTTGTCATTGTTTTGGTGTTCACACCTCGAGGAGTTAACATAGGGGTGTAACGTTATAACTCCCTTCACTTCCACTCCCCAATAGGTGCGACTTTTATAGAATCCCCTGGGGAGTTGAAATTTTACTCCCTTTTTTTACAATGTAAAAAATCCCACTGCATTCTAGTCTGGGTTTATCTGCACAGTTCGCCTGAGTATGGGTTAAATGGGAGAGAGAGAGAGAGAGAGAGAGAGAGAGAGAGAGAGAGAGAGAGAGAGAGAGAGAGAGAGAGAGAGAGAGAGAGAGAGAGAGAGAGAGAGAGAGAAAGAGAGAGAGAGAGAGACAGAACATTCTTATACCTCTACCCTGTAATCCCCGCATCATATTTTTCGATTCCGAGAATCTTTTAAACCCAGGTCGGTTTAACCCTTAGGGTACTGACTGGGTTAGGGTACAGTCCCATGTTGAACAGAAAACACAATGCAAAGCAGAATTTCGTGAGAGTGGAAAGGATAGTGATATCTGATTATCTCTCTTGCACTCACGAAATTCTGCTTTGCATTCTGTTTTCTGCTCAGCATGGGACTGCACCCTTAGCGTAACCCAAGAGACTTTTATAAATAGGGACATATTTTGGAAAAAGTCAATGAAGCGGATCTAGGCAGTGGGTTCGTGGTTAATTTAAGGTACCAGCAGTTGAAAGAATATCCAATTCTCTGAAATTATCGAGATAGGCTAACTTTGTCTGAATGTACATAAAATCGCGTTTTTATAGTCAGTACCCTGAGGGTTAAACTCAGAATCCAGGAAGTTTGCACGGCAAAATTCAAAATAAGTGCATTTTGGAACTGTTCTATAGCAAGTCACCCAATATTTTTTCCTATTTTTTCCTTGAAGTATACATTTCAAATGTTCAATCGATCTTAGCGCTTAAACATTTAATTTAAATGAGCATTTAATTTATATTTATTTATAGTATATAATAATTTATAGTTTTGTATGCAAGTCGTGAAGCTTAGATCAGGAAAATTAAAAAAGTTGTCATTAGTATTAAGATGTCAAAATCGGTTGACTAAAATAAATAAATTTTATACATTCATAAAAATTCAAGAAAACTTTTTAATAATGTTTACAAATTTTACAAGGTGCAAGACGGGAAAGTCGGATTACAAAATTTTTAAAAATGAATATTTTTAAAATTTTGTGATCTGATTTTCCCGCCTTTTAACTTCTAAGGAAAAATATTTACCAAAATACCGATAAATAAATTAAATTCTACATTAAATAACAATTAAAATAAATATTTTTTTTATTAATATATATCTAACAAAAAACTTGGCGTAATCTCTTCTATAAGGTGTAATTTTTTTCAAAATTTTATTAACGTAGCACCATTTGCGAGGTTCATTTTTGTTGCAGCTTATTTTGAGTTCAATTTTTTTCTGTGTTGATAAATAATAATTAATAATAAATTTTATTTATGTGTGAAACTTCTGATATAAAGTGTAATAATTTTTTTTAATAATTACACAGCCACACAAAAAAAAAAGTTCTGATCTGGGGGTCTCACTATGTAGACTTTATGTTTTTTGGGTCGCTGAATCCGAATCCGAGGTCCATTTAACCCCATCAGATCAGGATTTTGACATAACCTTAAAAAACCAATATGGCGGACACATTTTTGAAAAGTTCATTGGATTCGCTTCAAATTTGTTACTCGGGGGTTTTTGGGGTCGCTGATTACGAATTTGAAGTCTGATTTCAAAAATTCAAAATGGCGGATCCAATATGGCAGACACGTTTTTGAAAAATTCATCGGATTCGCTTGAAATTCGTTACTCGGGGGTTTTTGGGGTCGCTGATTACGAATTTGAAGTCAGATTTCAAAAATTCAAAATGGCGGATCCAATATGTATGTGTCAGCCATATTGGATCCGCCATTTTGAATTTTGAAAAACCGACATCAGATTCGTATTCAGCGACCCCAAAAACCCCAGAGTAACGAATTTCAAGCGAATCCGATGAATTTTTCAAAAACGTGTCCGCCATATTGGATCCGCCATTTTGAATTTTTGAAATCAGACTTCAAATTCGTAATCAGCGACCCCAAAAACCCCCGAGTAACGAATTTGAAGCGAATCCAATGAACTTTTCAAAAATGTGTCCGCCATATTGGTTTTTTGAGGTTATGTCAAAATCCTGATCTGATGAGGTTAAGTGGACCTCGGATTCGGGTTCAGCGACCCAAAAAACATAAAGTCTACATAGTGAGACCCACAGATCAGAACTTTTTTTTTTTTGTGGCTGTGTTATTATTATTTTAATTATTATTACTATTATTATTACCATTATTATTATTAATATTACACTAAAAAAAAATTATTTGATTCAAATAATTTTTATTTGCATCTAATAAATATTTATTTGCTTCAAATAACTTGAATTATTGGAATCACATTTATTTAACTCAAATAAATCTTAATCGGATCAATTAAATAATTAAATAACTCTAATAAATGAATTTATTTAATACAAATAATGAGTTATTTGAAACAATTAATTTATTTATTTCACTCAATTAATTGGATATTTGACATTATTATTAATATCATTATTGTAATTTGTCTAAAGCCATTACACATCGTGAATGCTGATGCGAGTCGTCTAAATGCCGAACTTACATCAGGCAGTAGGCTTACTTCCTAGGCAGTAAGCTTACTGCCTAGGCAAATAGATGAATCTGAACGATTTCGTTGTGCATTCGTCTAATTGCCGGCAGTAAGCTTACTGCCTAGGAAGTAGGCTTACTGCCGGATTCTTCTATTTGCCTACGACATATATAAGACCCAAAACTTGTGAATTTCTTTTTGTACCGTAGTACAGTAGGATCAAACTAGAATTTAATGTTCATAATCGTCTAAAATCCTCACTTCTTAACCGATATTACTAATTTTTTCCAATACCTGCGCAGAAAGTGTGACTTCGAAGGTTAGTTCGCAAAAATTCAATTATGTTAAAAAATTTTTTAAACTCTCGTCAAAATTCCAATTATCTTAAGAAATAATTAAATTCTTCTCCGAAATTCAATTATTTTCAAAACTTTTAATAAAATTCTTGACAAAATTTTAATTATTTTCAAAAATTTTCCCCAATTCAATGATTTTCAATATTTACGATTTTAATAAAATTTTCTAAAAGAATTCAATTATTTAAAAAACATTTAATTATTTTCATAAAATAATAAAAATTACACAGAAATCCAATTATTTACAAATTTTTTAAAAATTTCTTAGTCATAATTTAATTATTTTCATAAATTTATTTTAAATTTATTTTTAAGAATTAATCAATTATTCAATAAATTATTTATTTTTGTATTTAAATATGGGAGAGTAGGCTACATTGAACCAGCGTCAACAGTGAACCACTTCAATTTTCTGAGAAATGACTGAGTGAACTTTTTTCCTAATAACTATTTAACAACAATTTTCTATTTTTTTGAGTGGAAAATAAGATTTTTTACAATGTGTAAGTGGAAATATTATTTTCGAAGTAAGTTGTAGTGTTTTATTAGAGGTGGTTCAATGTAGACACATCCTTCAAAATAAGAAAAGTGTAACTGGTTAGAAAAAAAATTAAATTTAATTATTTAATCATAATAATTTGTGTTTGTAACGTGTGTATTAACTAAAAGAGTACTTCAGTTTTATTTTGATACAAAAACCTAATCAAAATTTGTAAAATTTAATTAGTTCTTGGACTTTATAAAAAAAAACCGGTTCAATGTAGCCTACCCTATCCTAATTGAATTCTCGTAGAATTTTCTAATAAAAAATTGATTTAAAAATTAATTTTATTTTAAATTTTAGACAATAATTGAATATTAAAAGCATTCGAGCATGAATTTTTAGAAAGAATTGAATTTTAAAAAGGTTTCAAATTAAAATCTTGGAAAATCTGAATTTTTCATACTTTTCAACTAACAATTCTGTAGAATTAATTTTTTTTAAAAAGTTCTCGGCAAAATTTGAATTATTATCTTTATAAATAATAATATTCTTCCAAAAAATTCATCATTGTTTTCAAAAATTTTAATAAAATTCTTGTCAAAATTTCAATTATCTTTAGAGATAATTTCATTATTTACAAATTTTTTTATAAATCTCTTTGCAATCATTCAATTAATTTGACAAATAATAAAACTCATTGCAGAATTTCAATTATTTGTAGGGGAGAAATGTTCCCTTATTCGACTCTGACTGGTTATATTTTTTTCAGTAATTGGTCCGTAAATGGTCCGTAATTTTTCATTTTTGGTCCGTAAAGTCCGTATTCAGGGTGGCCACATGTCAGTAAAGTCAGTAAAGTCAGGGAAGTGTCAGGGAAAAAATTTTTTGTCAGTAAAATCAGGGAAATGTCAGGAAAAAAATTTTTGTCAGGGTAATTAAAGAAATTAAGACGGTCATGAATTACGAAAAGGCTTTCAGCCATTGAGCACCAAGTAGCAAATTTTGAAAAGATAATCAAACGCGATTATTGTTATAACGTAATGTCACTTTCTCGTACAAGCATTGATTTAGGCGGTTCCAGATTATTTATTGACATATACGTGCTCGAATATATTAGTGACTTATAAAACAAAAGACTATTATCGCAGTCTTAGATTTTTTAATGTGAAACGTC